CAGCTGGGTGTGGTGGCACATGCCTTTAATCCACTCACACAAGAGGCAGAGGCAGGTCAGTTGCTGTGAGTTCAAGGCTAGCTCGGTCTACATAGCAAGTTGCAGTCTAACCCAGTCTACATAGTGAGACCCTGACTCAAAAGTAAACAAAAAACCAATGTGGGTCAGGTGTTATGGTTCAGTGGATAAACTTGCCTTCAAGCCTCTTTGATCCACAGAACCTACACAGAAGTTGTAGAAGTTGTCATTTGACCTCCACAAGCATAGCATGGCACACAGATGCTCATATATATACACACATGTGCACACAAAGTATATAAATAAGTGTAAGTTCTTTTTTGTTTGTTTGTTAAGACAGGGTTTCTCTGTATTGCTTTGGAGCCTGTCCTGGAACTAGCTCTTATATACCAGGCTGGCCTCGAACCCACAGAGATCTGTCTGCCTCTGCCTCCTGAGTGCTGGGATTAAAGGCGTGAACCACCAACACCTGGCTAATGTAAGGTCTTTTTAATTAAAGAGAAAAAGATGGAAAGAGAGAACTTACTTTACAGAGTTGTCTTCTGACTTAGATATGCTCCATGGGGGTGCACACCCACATATACACACGTCACACCTAATAATAATAGTAAAAATCACTTACATTTTGAAAAATAATTAAAACAATAATTCAAACTGCAGCAATCACTGCTCAGATCTTCAGAGCTTTAGGGGGAATTTCTTTTGCTAAATTACCACCTCTTCTCACAGCACCACTCAGGTGAATTATCTAGAAAGAGGAGAGTGAAAAGAAGAGAAAGGGGGAAACGATTATCACAGGCAGGCCAGCAGGGCTCAGTAGGGAACGGTACTTGATGCCCTGCCTCATGATCTGAGTTCCATCCTCAGATGAGAGTGAAAAAAATATATTAATATATTATAAATGAAAATTGTTTGGAGAAAAGTAATCATTTATTTTATATAGAGAAAATGTTTTGATACTGCAGTTAGAACCTAGAAACTCATACATACAAACCACCTCTATTGGTAAGCTGAGTATGGAAAATTCTTTTTTTAAACTTTATTTACTTATTTTTATTATATATACGTGTTCTGACTGCATGTATGCCTATACACCAGGAGAGGGCACCAGATCTCATAATAGATGGTTGTGAGCCGCCATGTGGTTGTTGGAACCTGAACTCAGGACCTCTGGAAGAGCAGTCAGTGCTCTTAACCACTGAGCCACCTCTCCAGCCCTGGAAAATACTTATGATTTAAAAATAAATACTTTTAGGTAGCTATTGAAGACTTAATTTTGATAAGTTACCTTTTAATTAAATACTGTATTGGTTGACTTTTTACTGAAGTAGACAATGCTAGGTAAGATAGAAAAACAAAGGGGTTAAGAAATAATACACATTTTAGTATGTGTTATACTAAGTATTTTGATGTAATTCTCATTAGAAATCTTGAAGGTGGACAGAGCAACTTATTATTTCTAGATAAAAAAAACTGGTTATAGGATATGTGCTAGATAATATAAGATTGTTATTTTGAGCACTTTATATTTATAAAACACAAGACATGAATTTTTCATTATTATTTATTTCTCATTGATAAGACTAACTCAGGAAGGTGAAGTAGCTGCTGGTGTCAGAAGCTAATAGGAAGTACATGTATCCACCAGCTGTAGGTGCAGCAGTGCTGTGCCCTGACCACAACATAGTCATATGACCAGACTCCCAAGTCAGAGTGTGGGGAATACATGCTTTTCAGTAAGCAGTAGTGTTGAGGACTGTCTTAGGGTTTTTATTGCTGTGAAGAGACACCATGACCATGACAACTATTTGTTTTTAAGATTTTTATTTATTTATTTACTATGTATACAGTGTTCAGCCTTCGTGTATGCTTGGGTGCCAGAATAGGGCACCAGACCTCATTACAGATGGTTGTGAGCCACCATGTGGTTGTTGGGAATTGAACTCAGGACCGCTGAAAGAACAATCAATGCTCTTAACAGCTGAGCCATCTTCCAACCCCAACCACAGCAGCTCCTTTTAAGGAAAACATTTAACTGGGATGGCTGGCTTATAGTTTCAGAGGTGCAGTCCATTATCATCATGGCAAGGAGCATGGCAGCATGCAGGCAGATGTGCTGAAGGAATAGCTGAGAGGCCTACATCTTGCAGGCAACAAGAAGTTGAAGTTACACTTATTTAAGCTTAAGGAAAAGACCTCAAAGTCCACTTCCCAGTGACACACTTCCTCCAGCAAGGTCAAACACACACTCCAACAAAGCCAAAACTCCTAATAGTATCTCTCCCTGTGAGATTATGGGGGCCAATTACATTCAGACTACCACAGGCAAAGATCTTGAAATGCAGCCTACTGATTTCCTACCCATCCAATGATATTCTAAAATCTAATGTTTTCTTTACTTGGCATTTTAGATCCATGCCTTTCCTTTATTCTCTACGACTGTAACAATTCAGAGAAAACTTGTGGATTTATTTATTGATCACTGTCCATCCTTGGCTCTTTCAGGCACGATTCTGGGTACAGGTGATGAGGGATTTGCGAAACGGGGTAAAACTAAAGAAGGTCCAGCAGCGGCAATACAACCCGTTGCCTATTGAATACCAGCTCACCCCGTATGAGATGCTTATGGACGACATTCGGTGCAGAAGATACACCCTGAGAAAAGTGATGGTGAGCACTCAGGTCGAGACAGAAGGGTTAGGAGTTTGATGTCATTCTTAGCTATATACCAAATAAGACCTTGTCTCAAAACAAAACACCAGAAAAGTGATGTTTGTGTGGATGTTGGAACTTGCAAGACGACTTAACTTTTTTTCATTTTCTCATCTTGTTGTGATGGAAAGAATATTAAAAGCATATGAAAACTATTTAGAAGGATATATTAGTCTGTGTAGAAGCAAAATTCTAAGTATAGGAAAGTCTGATTAAGTTGTATAATATCCGTGGATTTAAAAACTCTTACACACCAGGAAATCCACAGTTAAGGCCTCTGGTTCCGCTGCTAGGTCATACAGCTCCCTTCTTAAACTAGGCACTGACACTCACATGCTGGGCTGGGCTTTACAGTAATTTCTGTTGATGCTTGCTATGGGGCCTAGGTATAGGGCACATGGAAGAAGGGGGTGTTAGGTAGATACCAGTGTAGTTGTCACAGGGGAAGGACCAGGCCTGAGGTGGTAGTTCAACCTGTTTTGTTTAAGTAAACTGGAAGACAAAGCAATGTGTGATGGCACATACCTGTGACCCCAGCACTTTGGATGTAGAGACAGCCAGTTTGGAAGTTCAGGGTTACCTTCCACTGCCTGTGAGTTCAAAACCAGCCTGGGGTACACAAGACCTTATCTAAAAACCTATGGCATAAGAAAGACAGAGTCACACTTGTGCCATCTGGGAAGTCAGGATCTCAGGTACTGAATATACAGTGATGATTCCTCGATTCACGGATCTGTTTTGTTTTTGTGTTTTTGTCTCCTTTTAGGTAAATGGTGACATTCCCCCTCGGTTAAGAAAGAGTGCTCATGAGATCATCCTTGACTTCATCAGATCAAGACCCCCTTTAAATCCAGTATGTAACTTAACACACTCTCCCCAGGGAGGAGGGGGTCTGTACCTCTCTACCAAGCTCTCCCTTAAGAGTATGAAACCTACATGTAAATTAAACTTGACAGCATAGAGACAAACCTTCACTTATTAAATACAGTTATTCAGTATGTTTTCATCAAAACACTCTTAGTCATAGTGCACAGTCTGGCTGAATAACTGCTGTAACAGCTGAAAACTAAACACGTTTCTGGCATGAGTTGCCTTTCCAACTCAAATCATGCTACTACCCTGCTTAGACCACACTCATACTGACCCTATTTTACAGTAAATGTGCACTCACTTTTATGTTAACAGTCTGTCAGCAGGGTTTTTCCTAATGACCATAGAATCAGAATACTGTTCCAAATGCTATTTGTGTTTCTCCTTACTTCTTTTCCTCCTGGCTTAGTAGCCAGCTCCCACCAAACCGTGTCAAGCCTATGTACATAAAGTAACAGCAAGGGCAAAGCAGTGTTCTCCAGTTTGTAGACTATAGTGTAATCAGTTAGCCTTTTAGATCTTTCTGAAAGAAGGGGAAAGTGTTGGTATAGTAGAAAGGGGTCAGATGAACCTCATAGTTCACACTAGCCCCACAGAGAGGGGTCAAATGAACCTTATAGTTCACCCTAGCCCCAGCTCAATGGAGCTCTAACCAAGTTAACCTGCCTCTCTCAGCCTCGGTGTCCTCATTAATAGACTGAAGACAATAGTAATCCAGGGCAGTGAATTACAAATGTTGCTTTTAGACAGGTATTATGGTTTGCCCTGTAATGTCAACACTCAAGAGGCTGAGGCTGAGGGGTTGCCACAAGCTTGAGACCAGTATGGACTACAGAATAAGACTGGTTCTCAAAATGACAGTAATAAAGTTAGTTTCCAAAACAGTGGTATAGAGGGGCTAAGTCTATAACTTTAGCAGAACTGATGACTTCAGTTTACCTGCACACATGTGAGCAAATCATGGGGAGACCCAATAGTAATCTCCTATTGCATTAAAAGTCTTGACAGTGGGGCTTGAGAGATAGCTCTGTTGTAAAGGTGCCTGCCACCAAGCCTCATGGTTAAGGGTCTTTGCCCAGGACCTCACAAAGTGGAAGGTGTAATTGTCTGACCTTCACTCATGTGCAAGCACACAAAAAATATTACACACACACACACATTAAAAATTAGAAATATTGATATTGATTAACTTGAATAGTCTTTATTGGGCAACATTACAGTCAGTGAAATACAGTTCATTATTCTGTATTGTATGAATGACTATATTAAGTAAGAATTGGGGCTGGAAAGATGGCTCAGAGGCTAACAGTGTTGGATACTCTTCCAGAGGTCCTGAGTTCAATTTCCAGCAACCACATGGTGGCTCACAATCATCTAAAATGAGATCTGGCATGTTTTTGAATAAATAAATAAATAAATAAATAAATAAATAAATAAATAAATACAGCTAATCAGGTCTCTAACTGTTGGGCTTCCTTTTCAAGGCCTCAGCCAGAAAATTGAAACCAACCCCTCCACGACCACGGAGCCTCCATGAAAGAATATTAGAAGAGATTAAAGCAGAAAGAAAGCTGCGGCCTGTCTCACCAGAAGAAATTAGACGGAGCAAACTAGGTGAGTCCCCGCCAGGAAAGTTGTGTTTATACTTATACACATAAAAGTAACCCACAGAATTCTGAGTCCTTGTCTATAGACTACTCCTCTTTTCTCCTGTGTCTTCCTCTTCCCTCCCCTCCCCTCCTAACTATTGTTCACTTTTGTTGGTACTTGAAATTCATGTGACATGACAGTTCTTTGATGTTGAGCTATATGAGGACATTGTGGTATAACAGCAAGAACACTGCCAATTCTGTGCTGAGGTTTGAGGAGACACTGTTTCCTTTTCTAAGCCTGACTACCTGCAGCAGCAGAAAGGGGGATAAAAGATCTTGCTTCTATTATTTTATTCATTTATTTTGTTTGTTTAGGTTTTTATTTATTTATTTTTGGTTTTTCCAAGACAGAGTTTCTCTGTGTACAGCACTGGCTGTCCTGGCACTTCCTTTGTAGACCAGGCTGACCTTGAACTCCCAGAGATCTGTCTGCCTCTCCCTCCCAAGTTCTGTAAAAACTAAATAAGATTGTGCTAACAAGAGGCAAAAAGAACTTTATAAATTAACGTGTCCCAAGGGATCTAGGTTGTATTAAGGTAATAAAAACTAACCAGGACACCATCCTTGTATGCAGAAATAAATCCCACTTAGTCATGGTATATGGCCTTTTAATGTGCTGTTTGACTTGTTTGATAGCATTTGTTTTCTTTCTTTGTGTTTTAGCTTCAGTGGTCTTCTCTCTTCTGTGTCTTAGAATAGTTTGGAAAAGATTGGAACTAATTCATCTTTCAAGTTTGGTAGAATCATGGATGATGAACTCTAGTCCAGGACTTTTCTTACTGGAGCTTTTTGTTTGTTTTGTCCTTTGAGACAGCATCTCATATAGTTGAGGTGCTCCTCAGATTTACTCTGTAGCTAAGGATGATCTTGATTTAGGTACAGATTTTATAGGTGTGTGCCATCACTCCTGACTGTTTTGTTTGTTTTCCTGAGACAGGGTCTCATTTTGTAGCTGTGATGAAGAAGGGGGATCCCTGAGGTTCACTGGCCAGCCAGTCTAGCCTGATTGGTAAACTTCAGGTGTAGACAGACTTTTCTGTCCCTCCATCCACTCCCCAAATAACCACACAGAGACTTAATACTAACTATAAATGCTCAGCCAATAGCATAAGCTTCTTCTTAACTAGCTCTTATAACGTAAATTAACCCATTTCTATGAATCTAATGTGCTGCCCTGAGACTTGTTTACATTCTTCCCATCCTACTCACTCTGCGGATGAAGGGACAGATGTTTTGACTTGTCAGGTTAAAAAAAAAGCACTTTCACACCTGACGGACAAACAGACGGACTGCCCAGGACCTGATAACATTCTTAAGTATGCAATGGGCAGTTTATTCAAAAGTTAAGTTCATTCTTAACCCCTGAGCCATCTCTCCAGACCTGAGTCCGAGACCAGCCTGGTCTACAGAGCTAGTTCCAGGACAGCCTCCAAAGCCACAGAGAAACCCTGTCTCAAAAAAACAAACAAACAAACAAACAAAGTTACGTTCACGTACCAGAAAAGAGCTCAATAACAAATATTAGTAAACTTGATTAAAGAGTGGTTTGAGAATATGTATTGTTTTATTTGCTTACCTAGCAAGGGAAATCTGAAATATATTTGAGTGTAGAATTGAGTATTTTGGTTTTTTGAGTGGCAGGTATAAAATTATTCTCATCAACACAAAATCCCCCTCCACTTTCCTAAGACATCTAAAAGTCTTAACTTGCACATTGGGATGGATAGTTTAACCTCTTAGTTACTGCCCACCAAATATTATTATTTACAACATACTTACTATTTGGTAGACAAAACTTTTAAATAAAACTGACACTGCATGCAAAAGGAATGTTATCACTCCTTGGGAGATAAGATTCATATTTTTTCTCTTTATCTTGTTTTTCATTTTTGGTGTATTTTTTAAAATGTTATTTTTTCTTTGTATTTTTTCTTCATATTTTCCTTGTATTGTTATCCTTGTATTGTCATAGAACTGGAATTAAGACTCTTGTGTGGTTTTATTCTATTTCAGAATTGTATCCACTAGCTTCTAGTTAGCCTCCAAGGAGTGCCAGTGAGAGCTCCGACCCTTCTCCCTGTCCTGTCTCCTTGTGTATCCCTAATGGCTGAATTACTTTCTCTTTCTTGTTTGTTTTCTTTTTTTCAGCAATGCGGCCTCTTAGCATGTCTCACAGTTTTGACTTGTCAGGTAAAAAAAAACCAAAAAACAAAAAACACTTTCACACCTGACATGGGCTGTGTGGTTTCTGTGAGTCACATTCATTTGTCTGCTTGTTTAGACATGTCAGAAAAGAAAATTGAAAAGCTTTCTTCTAAGCTGTGGTCAGTAAAATAAAATAGCCTACCTATTTCAAAGCAGTGCATGTCATTAAAACCACAGTGGATGCCAGCCTCCCAGAGGAGCTGTGCTGCCACAGGCCAGCTGTGGATATGGCTGCCCAGTATGTGGTAGCTCTCACTGGATCAATCAGACCATTCCTGTAAGGAAACAGAAAAACAACTGTAAAGAAACCATTTGGTAGTGCCCTGTTCTTTAAAACCCTGAGAGCCTCGGTGAGCAGAAACTGCCTTCTGTACCCCTCTGCTTAATGGGCAGAGCCTGTCATTCATGGCTCTGGGCTGGTCACAGAAGACCGCTGTCAGGACCTCCTGATGTGTGCCCTAAGCTTACAGTGTGTCTTATACTTTCTGTATAATAGTCTGGCATAATGGTAAATGGATAGCTGAAGATGGCTATGTTTGATTATAAAACTGTCTCCTTTTTAAAATAAAAATTTTAAATATATTTATGAACAATTTTTCATATTTTTCTTAATTCTTATAAGATATTTTCAAATTTAAGTTTTTAATTTCATAAGTCACTATTTCAAGCTAAAATGAGGTAAGATGTATTTTTCTACAATGTCTCTTGAAATGTTACAGAATACCTCTTAAGTTAAAAAGAATTAATTGGCATACAAATGTTTAACAAACCAGTGAGTTTGAATATCTTTTTCTAGTGTCATTATTGAATACTTACTGTCTTCTAACTACAAGGTAGTTTCCATATGTTTTTTAATTTTCTGCTTATTTTTGTAGCTCTCAGACATGACTTTACTATTTTGGTCTTCATTTAACTATTTTTGACTGACCACCCAAGAGCCTTTTCTATTTTCTTTATCCATTTGGCTAATTTTATTTATTTTATCAACCATTTGTACAGTTGAACCTGTAAAAATTTTAGCTGGAAAATAAAACCAAAATTTTGGACCATGTATGCTCTGGCTAATCTCTAAAAGCTGGCCACTGTCACACTGGATATCTACTGGTCATGTTTCCATTGGTTGGATAAGGAGTAGAAGACTACCTAACATACAGATTGTGGGCTGGTATGTGGCTGATTGGGACAGTCTGCATGCTCTTAGACATGCTCTGGCATATGGTCTCTGGTGTTCTTACAGGCTCATGGTGGCCCTGTGTCAGGAACAAAACTGGGCAGTATAGTTTTGTTGTCTGTTCACTGTCTGCTGCAGTCTGTCTGTGCCTTGGTGTTCTGTGTGGTTTTCCAGAGCTGCTCTGTCGACTGCTTGTGCTGCTTATGTGTTTCCACTGTTGCATTTGACTGTTAACTAAATATCCCAGATTATAAGTGGGAAAGGTTAACCCATTCTTCCAACTTTAAAGGCTAAAGTATGTCGTCTTAGTAGAAAATGAACAAGCTAAGGAGTAAACAGTCTAAACATGTAGCATAGATAATGACTCTGAACTTGAGTGCAGAGTAAGACAGAAGGAAGTGTGTTCAAGGCTCTCTTAGAAATATTTCTTAGTGAAAATCTTAATAAGCCATTCAGCATCAATTGAGGTAAGTCTGATTTATTTTTCTTGTACAAATATTAACTACATAATTCATGTTCTAGTCCAACTAAGTAAAGCAGTAGGTGCAAAATTATTCAAGTATTTAATATTGTGGATATGCACTTCTGAATTTAAGAGGTAGTAATTTTTAAAATCATCTCTACTTTATGTCTGCAACATTTACTCTACATATAGAGATTATCATTTTTTTCCTCAAGAAATTCTGTCTTTGAGAGTTTGACTGGTGGCTCACACCATTAATCTCAGGAGGCCCTCTAGTCTACAGAGCAAGTTCCAAGACATCCAGGGCTACACAAAGAAACACTTCTCACTTAACATACTGAAATAATAGTATTTATTATTTCAACAGTAAATACAAATAATAACTCCTTAAAATATGTTGTGCCAAGTCTTATAGGAAATGAGACTTGTACAGTATCTAGTGTTAGAAATCACTGGAAGCCTCCTGGCAGAACCTTTTACCAGTCACATTCCCCTCAAAGCTTTGAACTTACTACAAATGTTTGTTTCAATCATCTCAGTCAGTGAGCCACATGACAGTGATTGGTCTCATAGCATGTTGTTCGGGCAGCCTTTTTCATTTAGTGACTTCCCCTAAACATCAGTTCATATGTCATTTTTGTCAGCTTCCTCCCAAGTGTGTGTGTGTGTGTGTGTGTGTGTGTGTGTGTGTGTGTCTGACTGTGTCTGACTGATAATAATTGAATTCCCAGAGTGTTGCACAGGGAGGGCAAGTGCTAAGCCACCTGAGTTACTTCCCTGGCTCTTTTTTCAATGTTTTGTTTTGTTTGTAAGACAGGGTCTCATGTGGCTCAGGCTGGTTCACACATGCTGTGTAGCCAGGGATGACTTCTGACCCTCCTGCCTCCACTTGTAAGCACTGAGATTACAGAGAATACTGTCATGCCTGATGTTATGTGTGCTGGGGCTTGAACCAGAGCCTGTGCACACCAAACAAGCACTTTCCCAGTGGAGTCCTTTTTGTGTTGAGGGAGGGTTACTCAGGCTTGCTTTGAGTTCACATTGTATCCCAAGCAGACATTGATAACTGAACTTGGTGATTCTCCTGCCTCAGCCCCTCAACTGCTAGGATTATAGGCATGCACCACATGCATCACACCAGGCTTTGGTTCTTGCCAGTTGTATTAGTATATTATATGTAGATAATATACACATATATGAATTAATAGAGTGTCTTAGCTTACAAGTTATGGTCCTACCAACCCAACAATGGCTGTCTTCTGTTGGAAAATCCAAGAATCCAAAGCTGTTTGGTCCAAGAGGCTGGGTGTCTCTGATGGTTTTCAGGAATACCAGTAAGGGAATGAACTTACTAGAGAGTGAGGGCAAACAGGCAAAGAACAAGTGCTTCCTTCTCCTATGCCCTTTATTATAGGCTGCCACCAGTTAAGGTGGATCTTCCCATCCATTAAGGTGAGAATTTAGGGTGGGTCTTCCCACTTCAAATGATTTAACTAAGAAAAATCCTTCACAGGTGTGCCCAGCTAGCTGCTGGAGTTTTAGTTAATTCCAGATGTAGCTAAGTTAACAACCAAGAATAGCCAACAACTACACCAACACTACCTAAATATTTTTAATCTAAATAATATTAAACACTATCAACACAATTTAAAATTTTCAATCTACTCTGGGTCTGGAGAGATGGCTCAGTGAATGGGTCACTCTTACAAAGAAACTGGGTTCAAATCCCAGCACCACAATAGCAGTTCACAATCATCTGTAATTTCAGAATCAGGGGATCTGACAACTAGTTCTGGTCTCTACAACTGCATACCTGATGCACATACATAACATGTAGGCAAAACACTCATGCACATAAAAATAAATATTTTCACTGGCCTTGAGGCCAGAAAGGCAGGAGAGCTATCCCTGCCTGCCACCAGCTGCAACACTAGGGAGAACAGGCCCTGCATCTACCTGGGCAGCACAATAGAGCCAATCCTGTTGGCTGAAGTATGGGTGAGCCATCCTCAAAGTTGTTAGCATGGGAGAGCTGTCCCCATTACTCATCTGTCATGTGGCAGCAACCCCTCTCAACCCCTATCAACCCCTGAGGCAGGTGGGAGAACTGGCCCTGAGGTCATAAGACATAGATCTAGCCCTGCCCCCTCATCAGCTGCAGCACTATGGAGAATGGTCCCTATGCTACATCTGGGCAATGCAGAAAAGCTGGCCTTGAAGGTGTGGGTGTGGAAGATCCAATCCTGAGGACATGAATGTAGAAGAGCTCACCCTGGTGGTGAGGACAAGGGAGAGCTGGCGGGCTGACCAACCCTGCAGCTACCCAGGCCCAGAACCAGGGTTATGTGTTGGCTTTCCCCAGTATCCACCCCATCTGTGATCTGCTGGAGCACGTGAAGGGACCGGTCCTGCAGACCCACAGCTGCAGGATCTACATGACACAGGGCAACAAGAGGAATAACCAAGAGGATTTCTAATGAGGGCCCAGCATAGTGTAGCAGAAACCAGAGGCCTCAAACCAGACCAGTGATTCTCTGCAGTGATCACTTGAAAGATACATGAACAAAAGGGTTTACTTTGTGACTCACTGTGTCACACTGCAACTTCCATGAAAAGACTTCCCCTCCTTTTTTTTTTTTCTTTTCTTTTTTTCTCTTAAATTTTTTTAGGGGGACTGCAAGGGCAGAGGGCAGATATGCAGGAATGGGAAATGAATGGGTTTGAGATGCATGATGTGAAAGACACAAAGATTAAATAAAAAGAAAATTTAAAAAATGAGTAAATCTTTTAAAAAAAAAAACTAATCTACCATAAACAACGTCTAAATTTTCTTAAGCAATAACATCCACAAGAATGTGGATGTGATATAACAGTTGGATTTTTTCCAAGATAGTAAATGAATATATAGCCAGTAAAAACTCTTTGCCTTGACAGTATGAGCCCAGTCTTGGGAGCTGGGTTCGTTCTTGTCCCTAAGTTTGTTTGTGGGAGGTGAGATGTCACTAGTTTCTGCTGGAACATGACTGCTGGGAAGGTACATGAATGTACACAGTTTGTCTTTTCTTTCATATATTTATTTATCTGGGGGTTTTGTTTGTTTTGTTTTGAAACAGAGTCTTACTATGTAGCCCTAGTTATCCTGGAACTCACTATGTAGACCTGGCTGGCCTTGAACTCACAGAGATCCTCCTGCTTCTGCCTCCTGAGTGTTGGGATTATAAGTGTACTCTTTAAGATCACATTAAATATTACTACTTTTTTTGTTTTTTCCTTTTTTGTTGTTACTGGTTTCTGTTCATTTGTTTTGTTTTCTTTTGAAATAGGATCTTACTCTGTGGCCCAGACTAGCCTCCTGGCAATCCTCCTGCCTTAGCCTCTCAAGTGCTCAGATTGCAGGTGTAAGCTACCAAGTCTGGCTGCTTTTTTCTTGAATAGAAATTAACCATCTACCATCTTTTGCTTTCTGGAAAACTTCTAAAATACTTTCCTAAAGTACCTTTCTCTGTATGTCCTTGTGAACGGTTTAATGATTTTCACCTCTGCAATTTGTATAAAATCTCACTGCCTTTTCTATTTTTCCCTTTTACTGTACTGCAACCAATTATTATTTATTTGTCCTAGCTACTTAGTACCTGGGATGGTAATATCAAAGTAAATAAATACCTGGACATAGTGTTGGGTTCTCTTTATTAAAATTCTACCCAGGCAGAAAGTAACCACAAACCCAAGGTTTATCTGAGCTACATATCAAGTCAGGGCTCAAAAATATTTTCACCTGGGGCTGGAGAGATGGCTCGGCAGCTAAGAGTACTCACTGACTGCTCTTCCAGAGGACCTGGGTTCAATTCCCAGCACCCACATGGCAGCTCACAGCTGTCTGTAACTCCAGTTCCAGGGGACCTGACACCCTCACACAGAGATACATGCAGGCAAAACACCAATGCACATCAAATAAAATAATTTTTAAAAAGTTTAAAATTTTTTTCACCTAAATGATAAATTATTAAGCCCTGTCTTCTCCCTTCTTTCTCCTTTTTCTCTGTCCTCTTTTGTTCCTTCAATCCCCCCATCCTTTATATTCAAACCTACAGTTTTTGAAGGGCTGTTTTCTGGCTGTCTTGATCTATAAGAATAAAAATCATAAAAATTTTTTGTTGTTTTTTGTTTTTCCAAGACAGGGTTTCCTTGGCTTGCCTGGAACTCAGAGAGATCCGGCTGCCTTTGCCTTTGCTGGGATTAAAGGCATGTGTCACCTTTAATTATTTTATGTCCTAACAATTGGCCAGTTACTTGCAGTGTATCACAGGCTATCAAACTCATAATGAGCCCTTTCCTGCCTTAGCCCTGTGAATGCTGGTATTACAGACATATACCAACAAATTGTAAATTTTAAATAAGAAATATACCATTGTAGTTAGAAATGATATATAGTTCCTTTAAGTAATATCAAGGAAAATGTAATAACACAGTTATAAAGGGGCTGAGGATGTAACTCAGTTGGTAGAGTACTAGCCTAGTATGTACACAGTCCTCGGTGAGATCCCCAGCATCATATAAACTGAGCATGGTCTTGTAATCCCAGCACAAGGGAAGTGGGGGCAAGAGGATCAGAAGGTGATCCTTCTCAGCAGCATAGAGTTCAAGACCAGCCTGGTATACATTAGACCCTATCTCAAAAAAAAAAAAAATCAATAAGAACATTCTTAAATGCTGAGTGTTTTCTACTTAGGGATATATATCACTTGTTGAGAGAAAAATAACCTTCAATCACAATGCTTTCCCTCCCAGAGGCTTTCTCAGTTTGGTGTCTAGAAGGCCCTTTACCCAAGAGAAGCTTCGTGGATGGTTCTCTGGACAGTTGATCACGCTGGTCTGCACATTAAATTATGCACAGATTGCTACATTTTCACTTCTCTGATTTTACAGTTAGCTATTCTGTTTCCATTGGAGGATTTCAGACTAGAGTACCAAAAAGCAGGCCTTGAGAATCAGCTCTGGCCCACAGCACTGTCAGTCAAGGGCTTGGTTTACTTAGATGGAGAGCTGAAAACTAGTGTTACCGTTGTTTAACCTTGACTGTACTAGACACAGGATATTACTCACAGTTACTAACCTGCTTAATCCTCACAACTAACTGTATCTGTACTACTCTGCTTTGCAGGGGAGGAACCAGAGGTTAGGGAGCTGACCCAGACAGCTAGCAGTAGAGATAGACTTTGAGCCCTGTTTGGATTATGCCAACTGTATACTGCTGTTTTCTCTCGAATGTGGAAGGGCTTTTTCATTCAGATTTGAGCCCTTAATAATTTAAATCTGATGTATTGAGGAGATGTGTCCCAGATCCTCTGTGCTTACATAAATGTGTTTATATAGTATGGATTCTTAGCTTCTTTGATTTTTAGGACAAGACATTTTTAGATCTTATCCCTAGGGGGACTGTGTGTGCTGTGTCTTTCCTCTACCCACCACTGACCCATTAGCATGAGTACAGCTTGCTTCTCGGAGCCTCAGTTTATTTACCTGGGAAACAAGAAGTCAAGATCCCTTATCTAGGATTTCTGCCAACTCTGAGTTCTAAACTACAAATATGAATATATAATTATTCATTTTAAGTTTTCCTGTAATCTGACAACAGCTTTAACAAATGTTCCATATGCGCAGGCATGGCATCACTGTATTGAACCTTTGTGTTTTATTTGTGTGACATGGAAATGCGGTCACCTGGTTGTGCTTCCAACACAGATTACCTTTTCTGGCTCAAGAAAAGGTAAACTTTTGCCTTTCTCTTACTAGATGTCACTACCCCAGACTCTTCAAAGAATGTTGGGGAATCATCTATGGTGAATGGAGGCTTAGCATCTCAAACAAAAGAAAATGGGCTGGGTGCTGCCCAGCCAGGGCCTGCACAGCGGAAGAAGCTCCTCAAAGCCCCGACCCTGGCTGAGCTGGACAGCTCTGACTCCGAGGTAAGGATGCCAGGCTTGGAGATACCTTCTAACCCAGTCCCCTGCTCAGTTCCTTAAGCAGTTTCTTCTTCTCTTCATGATTCAATCAGTAAAGGCAAGATTGAAGTTAATGTGGCTAGCAGGAAAGATAGTTACTGTTATTGCTACAGACCAGTGTGGTGGATATGCTTAGGAAGTAGCACTGAAATTGAGATCTGTAGTCTTACTATAAGTAGGAGTAAGATAAGTCAGCAGTCTTAAAACTCATATGACCTTCATCTTTGTTTTGAGGAGAAAATAAAGTTGAGACATGTTTCTGAAGGTTCTTCTCTGTCTGTAGTACACACAGACACATGTAGGATTGTTCTTTCTGTAATTGTAATGCCAACAAACAAACCTTCAAGAAGAGAGCTGTGCTCCCTGTAGTCTTTGCTTTACTCTGTGCCCTTCAGGGGAGAACACCCATCTGTTAGGTTTCCATGCTGCACCTCTCCCATCTGCTGAGCTACAAGTGTCAGCATGACTTGCTGCTTGCTAGGTCTCCACTGTCTGGCCCTAACTTAGACAAAAATGTCATTCTTCCACTCTTATCCATGGTGCATGGACACACATGTAAATTAAAGGCATGCTCTACCGCCTGGCCTTAAATTGGTGTTTTTAAGTATAAGTAAAGACTAATCAAAGGGGTGTCCAGAAGTGCTTTGTGTCCGTTTTTTAGACACAAATTTTACAATTTCTAATTACATTAAATCTTTGATGTTTAGAAAGCACAAATATGCAGGTGGCTTATTTGAAATGAGCTGTTGTTCACATTGGGGATTTGTACTATGTTATCAGAGTTTCTGTTGATGGAGCCAGAGAGATGGAGCAGCAGTTAGGAGTTCAGGTCCCATTGCCCTCATGACAAGCCAGGTTCCCACTTGTGGCTGGTGCTGGGGCTCTAGCTCCAAATGGGGCAGAGACAGAGACAGGAGGATTTCTGGGCTTGTTGGCTTCCCCAAGTTCCCAAAGAGACTTTGCTTGAGTGGGGGACAGGCTAAGGGATGGTGACAGGGGAAGATGTCCTGAACCCTCCTATACACACATAAGCATTTTTTGTAAAAGCTTCTATTGATGAAACACAGCTTTAGCTTAATGTTGGTAGATATTCATCCTAAACATCTCTCTTAACATCAGCTACTTCCAGACTGTCTTTTACCTGATTAAAGGCACGGAAAGATATCTCTTATAAAAGCCAGATATTTACACAAGTGAATGAAATACCAGGTCTTAATATGTAAAACAGTGAAGATAGTTTTCCTCATGGTCCCAGTGATGGGTCCTCACTCTGATTGTGTGGCGAGAACACTAGGACAAGCATTTCATCTTGTCCATGTATCCTCATGTGTCAGTGCCTGCATCTCCATTTGGTGACAGAGCCAATCCTTCTGTCCTCTAGCAGGGCTGTCAACCCTCCTATCTGTGCCACCTGATGAGAGCAGTTGATTTGTTGATCTTCAGTTTCTGGATCCAGAACTTGTGGGTCTTCCCCAGAAATATGAAGCGAAGAATAAAGCTTCCTAATTTGTCAGCTGCATATCCCCACTCCTCTATTAATTTATGATGTTAG